CTGAAATCATCTCATGAAATTGAGGATTTCTCAACACATTAAATGGAATTCTATTAGCACATAAACCTTTCATCACCCTCGTATCAACCATATCTCTATCGATAATTTTGAATGCATCTTCAATTGGTCCTGAAGTTGATGAAGGTTGTCGCTTCATCAGAGTAGAATTTTTTATGGACGAAGAAACTCCGATTTTTTCAGTCCTTTGTACTCTTTCTCGTAATTGTTGATATCCAACGCAACTATCCATTATTATCGAACACCTTTTAATGTCTACTTTTTTTCCAATTGGAGCACCAAAAAAGTAAGAATACATTCGAGTATACAAACTATACAAGTTCATATGACAATGTTTGCATGTCCAACTTTTTGAGCCTCCTGATTTTTTCCTTGTGTTTTACCATTGAGAATGACTTCAATAACAGCTTCAACTTTATATCCATATGCAGTTCCTACGCTTGCATGTTAGTTTTCACCGACGGGCTTGTATTAATGTGTTGAGTTACTTCAACGGGTTCAACCTCGTGTATTTGCCGAATCATCCAAATTTTGAATATCTTCTTCAAATCGTTCTTCAATGGGTGAAAAGGTTGGTAGAAGAACTTTAATTGTACGTTTTAATTTAGCTCTAATTGATGCAGATACCTACCTACTTAGAAACCTTACCAAAGTGGGATGGCTTCATGGACACGTTTCTTCAATTTTTTAATTCTACTGAGCTAAAGAAACCTTACCAAAGTGGTTTGATTTCTAATACACTTTTTTACTTTTCTCAATCACGTTTGTTTCTCTATTGGCCATTTTTGTGCCTGAGGGAACATTGCCAATAGGCCTTTTTTAAAGTTTCATTAGTTGTCTTTTTAATTTTTAAAAATTTCATTAGTTGTCTTTTTTATTTTCCCTAGAGCTTCACCGTCAGCTTTTTTTTTAAATATTTTGTGTGGTGAGTCCCGCCTTAAAAAGAAGTTTCATTCTTTCCAACTCTTCTAACACCGTCGATACAAAGCACAGAGTGTCGGAGTCTTCCATGAAAGAAGCAAAATCTCAAACCTCATACAGAAATCAGACCTCAAAAAAACCTTAGGCCAGGATGCCCAGCCCTTCCTTTCCCATCAAAGGTAATCTAAAAAACCAAGAGCAATGGAGTTTTTCTTGATCTGAAAAACTGACGATGGTGGTTCGCAATCTGAAGGTGCGACGAAATCAACGACAAAGGTAAATTAGGCTTCTTGAGATATCTCGGTATGTATTTCATCAACCATCCCCTTACATCTTTTTTAGGCTACTTGTCTGTTATGCTTTTTTGGATTTTGCAACAACTTTGAATTATGACTGGGTTTGGAATATCGATTTGGGGTTGGCACTTCGTTGCTAGGGAAAAACTTTGGAGACGTTATTTTTACCAATCTGGGACGCAAACATACCCTGTTTGAGGTCGGCCAACCCAAATTGTGGGTCCCCTATGGTCTTGCTGATCCTGGTAACCCTGGGGGAACCAAGCAGAAGATGCTGACACCACTGTGCAAGAACTGGTGAAGACCCAACCAAGGAAAAATGTGTTCCGACACTAGTATACAAGCCAGAACAGTACACCTAACACAAAAAATAACCTAAAAATTTGTCTAAAACAACAAAGTAATGCTGCGCATCTTAGATCTGTGAGCCCAACATCTAGTCGCACCTATAGAGCAGTAGATAGGTCTCAAACCAAGAAACAAAGCTCAAAAAATTATCGGTGCAGCCAAAATAGTGTGGCCGATCGGAGATCCACCAAAACAACACAAATCAACTGAAACTGAGATTGAATAGCCACATATGCAGCACATATACTTCGTTAAGATCGACATATTTGTATCGGATATGATACTTGTCGAATACTCGAAAATACCTATCAGATAACTCACTGAACGGCTAAACATATCCAATAATAAATAAAATATATGAATACTTTGTTGATACTTCTATATGCTTAGAAGTGTATAATTTTTAGTTTTAATCTTTACTCATTCCTTTTGATTTCACATACAATGCAGTACATCAACAAAAATCCATATAACTTGAAAGGCATATGGGTATTTTCTAAGTATTAACCATTATCACATAATCAAATAGTATAAATGAGTTGATTACTCCATAATCTTAGTAACAAATAACTTCTAAACAAATAATAGTTAAATGATATTTCTTGTTCCTTTAATTAATCATATTTACATTGTAGATGTAATATAGTGACACGATAGGCAACTCTTTGAAAATAGAAAACTGCTAATGTTGTTTATTAATGTAAAAGAATTACTAAAAATTATAGTTATCAAGTCATTACATAATAGTACAAATATAAAAAATATATATTTATAGAAGTATCCCGACCGTACTCATATCCTATTTTTTTGGAGTTTTGGTGTATTACCGTATCCATATCGTATCGTACACATATCTCGTATTTGTATCCATATTCGTGCTTCTTAGATAGCCACAAATCAACACAATAGACCTAGCAGGACCCTTTTGATAGGGATGCAAGCAACATAAGGCATCGAAAGGCTACGAGAAATCAAATTGAAGAAATCAAAACCAAAATCTCTAAAAACATTCAAAAAAATGAAAAGACTACTTGGATGGCTTCAAAAAAATTGACAAAAATCACCATAAATACAAGGACATCAAGTCAACCTTGAAGGTAGGTTTCCGTCACCAAAAAGTGCTAACGTCATGAACAAACAGTGGCTAGAATTTTATTTTTATTTTTGTTGTTGTTTTTACTGGCCTTAGTAAAAAAAAAACTTGCTCTAATACCAAGTTGAAACTATGAAATCATAAGTACAGTTTAAGTAAGAGAGAGAAGACAAAGCAGAAAAGAAAGAAATATGTGTGTTGGTTTTGTTGCCCAACACCCTTAAGAACTCTAACAATTACTAATGGCGATAAATAAATCATTACACCAAAGATGTGACAGGATACAAGAACTTGAATCCATATATTCTCTCACTTCCACGTTTCTTCCACGTACACATTAGGCCCACTGTACCCATCTATCAAGATACAAAAGAATACCTTCTAAAGACCAATGTTGCAAATACAAAATCCTCCTTGCTTCTGTTGGTGAGTAAAAAACAAAAATGAAGAGTGAATTGACCATTGAAATAACTTTTGAGTCCAACTGATTCCGAAGTTGCCCATTGAATTACTTTCTCAATCGATGGTGAATCTCCCTACTAAACTCCTTCGCAGCTCTTCATGCTTGATCAAGCACGATGTCGTATCATATTGAATACTCCATTTTTGTCGACAGTAACTAAAGAAGAGATAGTTGACCTTCCTCCAACCTTGGCAGCCTCCAGAAAGATTTCATGCCGCATCCTTGTCTTGGTGTTTTTTAGGATTTTAAGCAACCAAATTTCATATCAATACCCCTCAAATGTATTTCACCATCATCATTTTTGCTTGGCAATGCAGAGCTTCAGAGTTATGCACCTAATATTGTGCCAAAGATTCTGTTATAGCATCTAACTGGATAAATTTCAGATCTCACTGACTTTCTTTGTGTGCTAGGGGTGTGTTTGGGCTTGTTGAGCACAAAGCTCGTGCTATTCAAGTCATCCCTTCGCTGGAAATTCATATTGATGGTTGCCCATTATTGTAAACAGATGTTTTTGGCCATTATTTGCTAGCAATCACAGAGTTTGTTGTTGTTTCAAACATTGATCTCAATTTAGATTTCTGGCAGCCCTGTACTCGAATTTTCTTTCAGGTCCACACACATTGTAACCTTCGGATCGGTACCAGCTTAAATCAATTGATAATAGAGCTAAATAAAATCCACATGCAGATTTCGTGTAGGTTTCCAAGCATGGTGGTTATTATTCAAAGTAATTTGGCTACACTTGTGAAGCAACAACAATCGAACAAATATATCTTGGCTACTCTGTTGGAAAGAGTATCTCTTAATGATGCAGAATTGTAGATTCTCAAGTATATATAGAGGGAAAAAAAAGATATTGAAAAGGAAGTGGTGCAGATCAACAAAGTACAATAAGAGATTGCTGAAGATGATATTCAAGAGGGTCCGGAAGATGGAAAGATTATGGAGCCCAATAACATGAAAGTTATGGCCATGTACTTGGCCGACGACTTCTATGTTCAGAAAGAGATCAATGATCTTTTCAATTCACAAGGTATACTATGACGAAAGAGAGTTCTGAGATGGACAAGTTTCATGCTTCAATGTTGCAGAATTCGAGGACTGGTTTTCTTGAACACGGGTAAAATTGATATGATGAAGGGGTTAGATTATTTTGGGTTCTTCAAATGGCTAATTTTGCTAAGACCTGAGAGTCAAAATGAAAAAAAAAACTAGTTTTTATTAGTTTAGATTGCTAGATTTATAGAGATTTTGGTTTAGTATTATTACCATCTAGGATTTCTCTTGGAGGTTAAGTGATTTTGTTATAGTTATTTACTAGCTGGACAAGTTATAATAAGTACACTATAGTAATAAAGATTTGAGCAGAGTATGTGATGGAACAGAATTCAGATTTGGTGTTTTTCTTTGTTTGTGTCGGAGGTGTGTGTTTGTGCTTGGTTTGAGTCCCAAAGCTCATGCTATTCAAGCCCCCCAAAAATGTCATATTTGATCCAAAAACTCCGACTTTCAAGAGGATGCTCAAAGTAAACTAGACTTAGTACCTGACTACTTCAAAGGTAGTAGTCCTTTGTCTTCCACACAAGCTTAGTGATATCCTCATTGTTCTTGAGCTAAGGATGTGAAGGTTCTGGAGTTTCTAAAACTAGATCATACAAGTTCTTTTACTGTAAAGAAAATACCTAACTCATGGAAAAATCAGTGACTGCATATCTCTATGTGGGTGCGCATGTACAACACATTCACGCAAGTACATGCAGGCTTAAATTAATCATACGTATCAAAAAATGCCCCCTTCATTTTTCAGAGTTACAATATGACAAAAAGAGATCCAAAGAAGTAAGATATATTTTCAATCTCACTCAAATGCTGAAAGGTAAGACATAACCTTTAAGACATTCACAAGCTTGTTGAGCTGTGCTACAACTTGTTTCAAAACCTTCTCAGTTCCAGAGACAACTATGGTAAAGAGAGCCTTGTCCTTGTTCAAACCAACAGCAAGAGACTCAATGTTGTAACCTCTCCTAGCAAAGACCCCCGCAATCCGGTTTATTATACCACTTTCGTCCCCAACAAACACCGAGATGGTGTGGCGTTTCACCCTGAAATTGGCAGATGTAAAATGACATCCAGAACAACCATAAAGGAATTCACAAGCTGTGTAGGCAATATAAAATGCACAGTATAACTCAATATCTTTAGGCATAAAACTCCATCGATAGACCTGAATACTTCAAACAAAATTTGTTCCAAGTTTAATACAAAGTAAACAGCAAGCAAACGTAAGATTTGCACTCTCTCAAAACATATCTAAGGCCCACATGCAATTGTCATATCAACACCCAGCCTAATAACATGGTAAGAAAGAAATCTCTATTTCTCCTGTGGAAGCCCTTCTTTCAATCATGGTATAATTGAGCATGTTTCCCTCTATAAATACCAAAAATTTTATTAAAAAAAAAAAAAAACCAAAGAGAAGAATAAAGAATACAAAGGTGCTGTTTAGTAGAACACTAGCATAAAAAAATAATTAATAATGACACAGTAACATCACAATTACAAACAAAAGTATTAATTAAATAAAACGAATACATTTTTTTATACTTCTTAAAATCAGATAGGGACCATAAATCTCATAATAGATACCAAAGATTCATAGTGAAATTCGATGGAACAGAATAATTTCAAGGATTCAAAGTATCATTCCGAAACAAAAAAATGCCAAGCAAGACAGAGAGAGCACTGAATTGAAGGTAAAAGCTGAGAGCTTTACGTGGAGCGAGTAAGCGGAGCCGAAGCAGAGCCATTCTGAGTCACAGACAACGCTGCATTATCGGTGCTTCCACATGCGATTGCAGCTATGAACGCTACTTCTTTCTTAGGTCTAAACCCAGAAAAAGTAGATATATGCCCTAAATCTGAACTTCTCAAAGTCCCCAATTCCTCTCTGCCGTTGATTTTGCTGCCGAAACTTCTACAGCCAGTAAATGCTGGTGCTTTCACTGCCACACCCTTCATACCCGCTATTGGAAACTGTGACACAGCCGTCGCGGCCATGAGTCACCGAAACTGAAGCTAGAGGAGGGGAGAGAGAGAGAAACAGAGAAACAGAGAGAAGAGTTATTTGATACAGCAGTGAGAAAAGCATATGGCTATTTGTTTTGTTGTCTGCGGCGGCGGGTGGGGGATGGACTTTGGGTGGAGAATTGGGTGCTTGACGTAGACACGTGATATCATTGGATTGTGAATGGACCACCGGTACCGACAACAAAATTCGGACCAGGCTTTTCTTTCTCATTCAGTTTTATACCAAAAACGTGTTTCTTCTGCTCCGCGTACTTTGTCTGGTCCATTGAAAAGATTGTTGCATCAAAATAAGCTTTTAAACATGGTTCGGCGAGTTGGATGGCGACACTCTTGGTTCCGTCTTGATCTTTGTAAGGGTTCGGGTACGGCAGCTGGGAAAAAAAAAAAATTGGTATGATATCGCACAATTTATTATTTTTTGGAGTATTTATACCAAATTTTAAGGGTGCATTCATTTTTTAAGTTCATTTACTAAATTTTGGATGAAGTCTATTACATTTTGGGTTAAAATTTATAATTATTTGATTTTTTTTATTTTTTGATGCACTACTAAAAAATAAAATTCGATACTATAATGTAATCCTCTTTATAAACAATAGTCTTTGATGGTCAACAAAAAAACAATCCTCTTTTAAGATGAATGAAAATTTAGGAAGATTTGATAAAGATGAGTCATTTACAAAATAAAATATATTATTTATAATTAATTTAAAATTTAATATAAGGATTTAGTTAATTACAGAGAATGATGCACAAATTGAGTTTGTAAATCACATGTCAATTGAATTGTTAAAAATACAATAATTGATAATTGAGAGATAGAGACAAAAGCAAGATAAGATTTATAATAGTTCGGTCGACATGACCTACGTCCACTTTAAATGGCTAGGTTCGCGCGGGTATTTTATTAACTCAAGCGTATAAGGAGAATAGAGAGTTACAAGCTGTGAGAGGGAGATGAGAGTTGTGTTCGATTAAGTGTAATGTCCCCTAAATGTTGGTGGAGCTTAAAATTTATAGTCACCTTATAACGAATTGAGGCGACTTAATAATAATTAAATAGTTAATATGGCGGTCATAACGGATTTGGGCAACTTAATAGTAATTAAATAGCTTATCCAAAAGAGGTGGCGACCTCTTCTCAATGGGCAAGGCGATTACAATACTCTCGATAGGACTCGGTCAAAGAATGAGGTGAGAATTGACTCGTTCCAAGGCAGCAAGGACGAGGCTTTGGATAACCTTGTGTGCTCCCTGCTAATGTAGCTCCTTGAGCTTGATGAACTTGACCGGGTTGACCACATTGGGTTGGACTTGACGGATCTCTTGGAGCTGGGTTATTAATTCAGACCAGACTTATAACATGAGTTGGACCCTTGGGCCTAACCCATCAATAGACGTTAGATTAAAATGGATTCAAAATTAACATTAAAACTCACAACTAATAAAATAAATATACTAAATTAAATCACCAAATTAGGTCTTATAACATTTCCCCATCTATACATATTAAATGTGAAGATTAATAATAATTATAGAATTAAGATGATTTGTCATGCTTATATGTTTTCCCCACTTGGTATTTGCCAAAAGGATATTCATTTTTTTATGAGACTTAATTGTTTATTTATTACACAACAGGATATTATGCATCAATAGAATCATACAACCTAGTGAGATGTTAGATCAATGAGTCAAATACTAAAATTTTTAGTGACTCAAAAATGTTTGAAAGTTTAGCATCTAATAATCAATTTGAATTTATATCCAACAAGTCAACCAAAAAAATTATAACTCAAAAGAGGAGTATTGAATGATTATAAAGTGCAAAATGAAAATGAAAATGTGATTTTTGTTGACTTAGAGAAGCCTATAATTGAGTTTATAGAGATACAATATGCTATTAGAGAAAAATAATTACAAGTATAATTGTATGATTCAGATATATACAAGAGTGCAATGACTTTGATAAGAACAACCATCACAGAAACTAGCTTCCAGCAGGACAACCTTAAGGATGTATTGTTAGTGTTCATCGAGTACAAAGCAACTTGAGACAATAAAGAAGAAGTTTAATACTAAATTTTATTTACAAGCAATACACTTTTGTTGTATTTGCTAAAGTAAGATGAAAACTTAAATTGGAAATATGGGCAATAGTTTTAGAGTAGAGGAGATATAGGATAAGTGTGACGCCTCCAAAATCGGGGGTTCTTTGTCAACCTGTTGATCACCCATCAACCCACGAAAATACCCTTGAATGTCACATAATCCGACACCACGACACATCTTTTTTATCGGGATCACAACAACACAAGGATAACCTATGCACATTTCATCATTGACCAATCCACGATCTAACATTTATTTAATCATACTTATTATTACTCCTTTGAGCAAGAGGAGTCGATGCCCGAAGGCTTAGCAAAAGCATTTCAAATTTTAACATTTTCAAGAAAACCTACTGGTAGAAGTGTTCAAAGTCCTACAAGTAAAAGTGCTTATTAAACTTCAGTTTTCAGAAAATCTAGAGAAAACCTATCGGTAGAAGAACCCTACTGGAAATGTTCTACCAACCACTCTTGAAGTTCTACCGATAGAACACGCCTACTAGATAACATCTACCGATAGAAGAGCTCAATGTTCTACCGGTAGGTGTGCCTAGTTTTTCCCCGATTCCATTCTTTTTCAATTCCTATCCATTCCAACATCAATTAATATCAACTCAAACTCATATAACATGTAATTGTGCATTAAACATAGTTATTACAAGTTCAATTACAATCCTTTTCATACGATTACAAGTCAAAATGAATTTATATGAAGTTTTACAAAAAAAAAACATGATTTAAAAGTCCCATGTCGATTTTTCTTCATCATTGAGGGTCCGATGAGAGTCGTCTCACGGCGTATATCTCGCACCTGAAATATTGTCCCCATAAAAGGTGAGTCACGCTTAATAGGGTATCTCTTAAAGATACTACTCTCTAACTTAAGTACATATGAAATGTTCAAATGCAACATTCAACAAGCAACAACCATTCCAATCAAGAATATGCAATTCAATGTTAAAAATCACCATGTTATGCCATAAAATGAGATGAAACTCACTCATGCACTTCAACCCGAACCTTCACCGACTCTATCAACACATGCAAATGTCATGCGTATGATCTCTGGGTATTTCAAACTCACACCATTGATGTTACACATACAATGACTATTTAAAATCGTTAGGTCTTTCTTGGAGTGGGTATTTATGGACTTTCTCCATCAGTCACCCAACCAACACAACATCTATGGACTTCCACCAACGACTTCGCATATGCCAACACACTTTATGAACTCGATACCAATAGAGTGCGTATTCGAAGTAACCGAGTCTCGCACCCGAGGAATTATCTAGCCCTTCTTACTAACCCCAACCTTATTTTCAATTCAACCTGTGCAACTCAGTCGGACCTTGGTTCAATCTTCCTGAGCCCACGCATTATCCTCCAAGGGTGGCGTTTGATGACAACCATGCACGCACACCCCCACTCAAGCCTAATGCCCATGAATGTGATATCTTCATACATATGTAATGTAATGTGCAATTGTGATACTAATTTCATGTTCAATATGTTATGAATGCTACATGAACCATTTCAATCACATTTCGACATATTTCATGGTCAATTATATCATATGCATATGATTACCATAAATCATCTTAATATCAATACATCACCAAACATATATCAACATTATATTCAACAACAATTTTCAAGCATGTTATCACATAATCTCATGCAAATAACACACTTAATTCTCCAAGGTATAATATAAACACATAACATGCCCACATATCATTATTTTCCAAGAAATTACAAGCTAATAATTTCTAAATATTAATTCAAGATAAATTTAATTTTATTCATTTTCAATACTCATTTCATCAAATTAATAACAATAGGTAAGTGTTATATCTCTAACACCTTACTCATTCCATATAATCCTCCTAGGTTGGAAATAAACTTAATTAGGGAGAAAATCCTACCTCTTGAAGCTTTAAACCACTTGATAGAAGCTTTCAAGAATCCCAATCAAGTCCAAAGCTTTGATTTCTCCAAGCTTCACTTTTGAAACTTCACCCAAATCCATTTTTTTTTGGTATGATTATGTAGCCCTTGACAAAAAGAACAATTTTTGTTCTTGGCTTGAGTCGATTCGACCAACGAATCTTTATAGATCGTAGAGAGAAGGTGGAGCTTCCCTATATTCTTTTGATTTTTTCTCCCATTTTTGTACCCTTTAAATGATTGGTCCTCATTTAGCCACAAGTTCTTCTTTTTCAGGTCCGATTTTGACCCGAATTGATTAAAATTTGTCTCGGTTTAAGTTCAAAATATTTTTATTTAAACAAACTTTAAATTATTATCCACTTTTTGAAATTAAATTCCCATGTTCGTTTATGAGGTCACACGACACCCGATCGCCTCGTAAAATACAAAAAAAAATTGACTGTCTCGGAATTCGACGAAAATTGACATGGTAGCTAGATTTCACGAGATGAATCCAACGGTGAGGTCCATTTCATCATTCGTATTTTAAAAAATTTTGAGTTTTCAACTAGCAGCAAATTATCATTTTACCCTTTTTCATAAAAATTTTAAATTTATCCAGGTGTTACATTCTTTCACCCTTAAACTAATTTCATCCCCAAAATTCACACACGCATGCACATTCAACCACATGCATATGTCATAGTCATATTACACTAAATGACTATAAGAATGTACCTCCATCTTTAAACAAAAATGGATAACTGGTACGTATAGTGTCCTCAGGCTCCCATATCGCTTGCTCCACACCTCGGTGATGCCACAACACCTTCACCAGCCTCTAGTCTTGCCTCACAAAACCTGTCTTCGCCTATCTATGATATGTGCTGGTCCCTCCTCAAAGGTTTCATCCGCATCAACAACAAGTTCACTTCAATCCACCACATGTGTCGGATCTAGAGTGCACTTTTTAGAGCATAGAGACATGAAACATTGCGTGAACACCCGATAAATTTAGCGGTAACGTCAACGATAAGCAGCTGTACTAACCCTCTCGAGTACCTTGAAGGGTCCGATATACCTCGACGATAGCTTCCCCCGCTTCTGAACCTGACCACTCCTCTCTTAGGCATCACCTTCAAGAAAATATAATCACCAACCTCAAACTCTAGAGGCCACCATTGTCTATCAACGTACCTCTTTTACCGACTCTAAGTCATGAG